CTTTGCAAATTAGTCAAAGAAGCTTCTAACATGGTGGAATTGGTTATATAATATAAGAACATGTTACAACCCTAAGTCTTAACGTTGGGGTCCTACCATTGCTAGATTCAGAATGCAAGTCTTAATAACAGTTTATCCTGATTTTATGCTTGTGCAGAGGGACTCCCTTCTGCCACCTCCACCCCATGCCCCACTGCTGTGTGCTGAAGCTAATTATGTGTATATAAGTTATGGTCTGTCCTTTCCTGGACATAAGATACCTTGCATCTCCTCTTCACTTCTTATGCAAAGGAGGCTTGGGAGATGCTGTAGACTCAGTGTTTGTTCCCACTTCCCAGATTCATATGTTGAAGCCCTAACCCCCAAAATGATGCTATTTGGAAATGGGACCTTTGGGAGGTCATTAGGGTCAGATAAAGGTATAAGAATGGGACCCCAATGATGGGATTAGTGTCCCAATAAGAGAAGGAAGAGACCAGAGCTTATTCGTACTATGACATGTAGATACTGCAAGAAGAAGGTGGCCTCTGCCAGCCGGAAGACAGCCCTCACCGGAACCCAACCATGCTGGCACCTTTATCTCAGACTTCTAGCCTCCAGAGCTGTGAGAGAGAAATGTCTGTTAAGCCCTCAAGTCTACGGTATTCTGTTGTATCAGGCTAGGGCAGACACAGGCATTCCTACACCCAGACATGTGGATGGTTTCTTGATATATCACCTGTGATTCTTTCTAGGGCCTTCTCTAGCCCTGGAAGCATGCTTGGCTTGGCCAGTGCAGGGCTCAGCAGAAACATTGAAGAGTTAGTGCCTTTGGGACAGCCCTAAACAGTGACAGGCAGGCATCAGTGGACGGAGCCCCCCACCCTACTGCTGACCCGGCAGTAGACAACTCTGAGACCTGCTTTCCTCTGTCTCCCAGCAAGCTTGAGGCCACTCTGCCAGCCCCTTCCCCTCCCTGTCTCATCTCTCCACCCTGCTCCCATTGCTTCCTGGGATCACCTCCCAAACAAACTGCTGTCATTCAAATCTTTCTCTCAGGGTCTGCTCTTGAGGGCCCCAGTCTAAGGCATGGGCATTTGGAACCTATGAGGGAAGACTCACTTCTTGCAGGGCAGGAGAAGAGGGCTTAGCTCAATTTTTAGATGAAATCTCTCCTTGTGACTTTTTTTTTCAAACGATAATGCATGTATAAAAGGGAAAATAAAATACATGTAATATTCTTTGTAAGTTGTGAATGAGTCCTTTGAAACCATTTTTCCAATTTCGTTATTTGCCTGATACGTGTTTCCTGAGAGGAGCTGTAATGAAAAGTGGTCAGAGTGGTTGGATGTCAGGTGAAGTTTGTTAGGTGAGTGTTTAACCTAGTCATTCTTTCCACATTGCTATTGGCCACCAAATAAGACTTTTTATTGCTCTTGAAGAACGGTGATTCAATACCCTTAGACTGACTGTCCTCTGCCTTCCCCACCCTGACCCTGGAGCTCCCACCTTCCACCCACATTCAACTCAGTGAGGAGGCCCACAGTGCTGGCTGCTCCATTCACAGGCTGTGCCACTGACTGTGCCAGACTAGAGGCTGTCATTGCCCCATGGAGAATTTTCACACACTTCCTCATGGCCAGCTGTGACTTTTGATAGAGGAGCTCCCAACTGGGCATGGATCAGAGAGCAGGCCCTGGAGAGCAGACCAAGATCAGGTCACTGGTAAGCTGCCCCCTCCCTGAAGGGAGGGAAGAGAGGGTTGCTGAGCCTCCAAGGAAGGAGGACCCTGAAGAAGCTTCTGTGGTTTCTCCTTGGCTCACCCCTGCCCGGCCAGAACTTTGGGCAGCTTCTAGGTGGACTGCCCTGAGCCAGCACGGGGCCCTTTGGGTCCTGCCCCATCCAGGGCTAAGCCTCCAGTGTGTCTTCCCCAGGGGCCCAGCTGGGGCCACCATGTGGGCTGGCGTGGAGACCCCTGACAAGAAACCACCTCCACCAGAGAGCCAGGCCCAGTGGGATCTGTGTATCCATGTTGCTTCATTCAGCCAATTGATGTTCATGTTATAGAGAACTGAAAATCAGAATGCCTGGATTCAGAACCCGAGCCTGTCACTTACTGACGTGGTGCCCTTGGTGGAATAGGTGCGCTCCCTGGCCCTCGGTGGCCTCATGCATGGGGTGGCAGTGAGGCAGGAGAACGGAGCTGGGCTGAGAGGACCCAGTGCAGATGCAGATGATGCTCATGGGGTGCCTTTCACTTCCTTCCTGTGCTTCCTCCGTCCCTTGTTATTGATCACGGAGGAAGCTTGTGAGGCAGGAAGTAAAGAGGTAACTGGATGTCACATACCTGTACCCCCTCTACCCCTCATTGATGATTGGGGACCTCAAGCGGTTTCCGTGTGTGATTCTTCTGCTTGGCACTGCCCCAGGGCATATGACTGGCTTGTTTCCCGTGGGTGATGGCTGTTATGATTGATAAATTAACTCAGCATCCCATCTCTAGCTTCCAGCTCTGGGACTAGGAGAACAATAGAAGAGGTGACCTTTGAACCCTAGGACTGGCAAGTGCCAAAACGCCCTGTGGCAGCTACACTGAAAAATGCAACAACAACAACAACAAAAGCCCATTGCTTCCCCTCCAGGAGTGTGGCAGCTGAATGTAGATCAGATCAAATCCTCTTTTGGGAGGAGGTCACGGAAGGAAGAGGTCAGAGGGCAGAATGAAATTGCAGATCCATGCAGGAGGAGGGTGGCATGTGTGAGGGGCATCCCCAGCCCTGGGTTTGCCGGGTGTGCAGCCCTATTCCCACTTTCTAGCCATGGAACCCAAACATGTTGTCCCATCTGTCTTCCCCTTGGGTTCCTCACCTACAGAATTGGAATAATAACCTGTTTGTGAGGATAAGATGGGATCATAGGGGCAAAGTGCAAGGTACAGGGCTTGCCAGGAGCAGGTGCTCAATAAATGCTAGCTCTTGTCACCCCTCTGCCCCTCACATTAATTTCCAGATCGTGGCTTCATTTTGGTCCCCAAGGGAAACTCCTCCAGGCTTCTCCCAGTTTATTTATTCATTAGTCAGAGGGGCGCCATGCAGCCTGTTTAGAGCAACTTCAGCTTAGAAAAATCCTTGCATAATCTTGACATTCGTGTCTTTTCTTGTCTCCTTTTTTATGTTTAAAGGACCATACAAAACTAGAGAGTGTGATTAGCTGGACATACAGGTGGATCTTGCTTTTTAAAACAAAAAACAAAAAACAACTTTATTGAGATATTATTGACATATAAAAATTGTATATGCTTAAGGTATACAACTCCAGCTTTTGATATGCAGATGCATTGTGAAATGTTAACTGCATTTCAGTTCATTAACATATCCATTACCTCTACATAGTTACCATTTATGTGTGTGTGTGTGTTTGTGTGTGTGTGTGGTGACAAGATTTAGATCCACCCTCTTTGCAAGTTTCAAGTATATAATGTAGTATTTTTAACTCTCCCCCACTTGCTGTACATTGGAAGGTGAGCCTTGCTTTATATACTAAATGTACCCTTTGGCCCAAACACCTCATGTGGCTCCAACCCAAGACCTGCACAATGCCTTAAGCAATGCTGCCTTGGATGCAGAGAGCAGAGCCTTTTCGAGCAGTGACCAATGGCTTGTGTCTTGCACAAATCCTCTGGGCAAGCCAGGGGTCATCAGCAGAATTGGGCCTGGGTATCTCAGAGGTCATCCACTCACTCCTTAGCACCACTGTCTTTGTCTCTTCTCCCCTTCCTGGCTGCACTGCCTCTCTCATGCATAGTGTATCCTGGAGTCACCTCCCAGATAAACCACATACCTCCACATCCTTGTCGGAGGGTCTGCTTTTAGGGGAATCCAAAATAAGACAAGAGGCGAACAATTATCATCTAACACATCCTCCCCATCAAATGGTCGTGGTTTCTCTAAGAACTCACTAGAGAAAGACTTGGAGACCTCATCAAGCTCAGAGGAAAAGACTTCTTTCAACAGCCAGTGATGTCTGCCCATGTGGGGCTATGGGTGGGGGTAGTGTGTGCTGCTCCTACCACACCTGATGGGCACATCCTCCAGCAAAGGAGCCATGGATTCCTATCGGAGGGACCACAGGAGGCTTCATAAAGGAGAGGAGATGTGAGAACCTAGCCCAAAAGGTTGATTGGATTTTATGAGAGGAAGGGACAGGAGGCCCGGTTAGTGGTGGAGGACCTTCTTGGTCAGTTCACGGACTCCGGTTTTCATCTCATGGCAGAGAGGTTTTGGAACATTGAGAAGGCATGAACTTCCCTGTGGTTGGCATTCCAGTCCAGCCACAAATGGAGGTCAACTTAGAAAGGGGAGCAGTGGGAGGGAGCAGGGAGGGGGTTGTTCTAATAGCACACGGGGCCCACACGCTAAGCCAGGTCAGGCAAAGTGGAAAAGGAGCAAAATGAAGACCCACTTAGAGCAGGGGCCTCAAATCTGTCTGAGCCACAGACCCCTTTGATGATCCAGTGAAGCCTACAGCCCCTGCTCAGAAAAGCAGTTTTCAATGCGTGCATGCAGCAAAGTACATAAGGTTACACATGGAGACTGACTGTGTGGAAATGAAGCTGTCAAAATATTAGAAAACAAATTTTCAACATAGTAGTTCACGTGCTTCCTCATTAACACTTTTAAGTCGCAGGTGGTGACCTAACAACCACCATAAGATTGAAGCAGTGGGTGAGAGCTGTACAAGTCTGATGGTATGACGTGTTATGAAAATATCTGTGGGGGCCGAGTCCCAGGTTCTGCTAACACTACTGTGGTTGGTTTCCCACGTTCTTATCTGAAGGAAACACTCAATTCTGGTTGGTTTTGTGAACCTAAAGATGTAGGGTTTTTTCCTCACCCAAGTTCATGGACCCCATGTTAAAACCAAGACTCTAAAAAGGGACTGACTGGTAATGCTGTCCCAGACCTACAGCACTAAAAATGTGGTCACCTGTGCTGAGATGGTTTTCTTTCTCTGTTCTTTAGCCCTGCATGAATTCCCCAATGACATCTTCACCAACGAGGATAGAAGACAAGGCGCGGTGGTCCTCCATGTGCTCTGTGTAAGTACCCCTCTGTGCCTCTGCCTGGAGGGTCCATAGGCCAGGCCTAGGGGTGTGGGGTGAGGCACCTGAGGTGCCCCCAGTGGAGTCTCTCTGCCCTCCTGTTCACATGCCTCGTGGGGGTCCTCCGAGCCCTATAGGGGGCCATCACCAAATGGAGACGAAAGACTGCAGCTTTCGAAGGTGGAGCCATCTGTTATGCACTTTCCCTTCATGTTAGTGCCCAGAGTGTGGGCTCTAAAGTCAAACAGCCCCACTCTCCATGACTTAACCCTACTCTCTGTTCAAACACCACCCTCTTGGGGGAGCCCTTTCCTAACCGGCCTTTCTGAAATGCCGCCGTATTTCCTCTTACCCTGCTTTGTTTTTCTCCATGCTACCTGCCATTGCATAGTTATTTGCTTTTCAACTTTTCACCCTCACTCACGCATAAGCCCCTGACAACAGGGACTTGGTTTTGTACACAACTTCATTCCCAGACCCCTTCTTGGCACGTGGTAGGGACCGAACATTTGCTCACCGAGTGGATTCTATGTAATGTCAACTGGCACCATGTCTGACACATAGAAGGCGAACAAGAAAAGCTTGTTCTCTTCCCATCTGGCCTCTTACTGTCCACCACTGCCCTAGCATCTTCTGCCACAGAGCCAGTGGCTCTAAAGTCTGTGGTCCCCTTGTCCCCATTTGGAGGGTTTGGGGGAAGGCACACATGTGACAATGTCTAAGGAGTGGACAGCTGTCCAACAAGAAATCTCTGAGCCAAGTTCTGGACTAGGTACATTACTGCTCCCCCATCTCTGTGGCGTTCTCTCTCCCCCAGAATTCCCTCTCCCCTGAATTCCATTCTAGTTATTTATTGCTGTGGCGCAAACTCCCCACGTGTAGCGGCATGCCCAGTCACTGTGTCGTTTTGCTTTGGGTTGTTTGTGGTGAGTGCTTAGAAGAAGCAGGGTGGGAATGCTGCTCCACAGAATCCAGGGCCTCAGATGGACCGACTCCTATGGCCGTGGCTGGGCCACTGGTCCTAAAGGGTTTCTCTCTCCCATGCCTGGTGTGTGGAGTGGGATGGCTGAGGGACTGGCTCAGCTGTGGCTATTGAGAAGAACACCTACAGTGACCTCTACGGTGTGGCAGCCTCAGGCAGTCCAGAGAGCTCAGACAGGGAGGGTGACTGAACCTTGAAGTCCCACGGTGTAATTTCCACCGTGACAGTCACAACCCACTGTGATTCAACGGAGGGGTTAGAAACCTTGCTTTCAACCCACAGCTGGAGCAGGTCAGCAGGCACAGCCTGGGCTCTGGAGTCAGAGAAGTCATGGGCTTGAAGCCCTTTTCTGCTGGCCTTGCTTTATGTGTCACTTCCGGGAGGACACTTGACCTCTTAAGACTCACAGGCCACCTCCATCTTGACTCCTTTTCTGGGTAAAATCAATCAACTCTTCAACTGGTCTCCCACTCCCCAAAAAGGGAGCATGAAAAGTCTCTTTTCTACAAGGACATTCTCTAAAAATACCAAATGAGTAAGGAGAGCCTTTGCAACCCCCCAGCCCTCCCTGCCTTTCAGGGAAGTTGCGTGCACTGAGCCATTAATATGGATGTCACCTTTGGCACCAAGGAGGCTACCCTGTCACAAGGCTGAGGAGCCCCAGGCACTGAGTTGGATCCGGAAATCTCTGGCAGACATTAGCATCCTGATGCTTTGACATCTGAGATATGAGATTTCCACTCTGGACCCAAACACTGCGTGCTTTCGGCCTCCTGAAGAGACGTTGTCGCCTGCAGCTGCATGGCCCTTTCTCCCCACCTCCATCTCCCCTCTGGACTCACTGAGTCATCAACTGGAGGCGGAGGAGGTTCATTTTTCTTGCTCTTCATGAGCCCAGGATACCCAGGAAGGTTTCTGCTGTCTGTGGTAGTACATTTCCAGGCTGGCATAAAGGCAACTTGGGCACAAATGCATACTATCCTCCTTAAACACTTCCCTAAGAGTGGGCATGAGCCTACAGGTTAGCACTTTGTAATCACTGGAATCCAGTGCCACTGTTAGCCCCTGCCCTGGGCTCTACACTTTAGAATCCACAGGGCAAGGAGTTCATGGACCAAGACCAGTGCCCACCCCTTCAAGATTATGTTCCAAGCACACAGACGCCCAGAATTCTCCACCCAAATAGCCGTGAGCCTGCTGCCAAGGCCTGTGCACGTCTCCTCCCTGGCTCCACCTCTTGGAGGGAAGAGACCCAAGTGGGGCAAGTTTCAACACACAACATACATGACTGTAGTCCAGTGTGAGGCCAAGTGGGCAGAGCAGCAGGGCAGAGACAAATGTTAGGGTGGACCTGCTGGTGCCATCCCCAAGGCCCAAGACCAAATCTTGTTATCCTATCCACTAGAACATAAGCCCCCACCACCAGAATGTAAGCCCCAAGAAAGAAGCCCCTTCGTACTGTGTCCAGTCATTGAATGCCTGGAGTTGCACAGTCACTTTTTGTTCAGGGCAAGAGTAAATTATTCCTTCTATCCCCTTTACCTTCCATGTTGTGCGGTACATTTAGGATGCTCAGAAATTGTTAAACAAACATCACTGGATGTGAGAACTGCTGGAAGGGTAACATCTGGCATTCGGCGAGCAGGAAACAGATGAATGCACGGGTCAAAGTTGCAAGAAGCGAAATACAGAATTCCTGCACTTGTCCATCTAGAAAGCATTTCTTGAGCCCCTGCAGAGTACTGCTGGGCTGAGTCCTTCTAGATGCTCAGGACATGGCCTCGCTCTGAAGGAACCTGCTGTCTTGTGAAGAAAACCACTTATGATCAGCACCTGCCATGCACTAAATGCTGACGAGGGTCTGTACAGCCTGCTGTGCTGTGGGAGCTTAAAGGAGGCACCTCAGTGTCAGCAAGGTCGGGTGGTGCTGTTCTTGAAGAGTGGGCAGGCAGTTTCCAAAGGAGCATGGAGAAAAGGGACTCCACACAGGAATGGGAAGCCTCATGGTCAGAGACACAGAGAGGTGAGAGTCAGGGAGTCTAGAGAGAACACAAACCAAGGGTGTGGGGTGGTGGAGAGTGAGCGAATGTAGCGTGGAGAGACCAGCGGGATCTCACATGGGAGGCACCACACATGATTTAGCTGCTGCGTTGGAGTGGTGGGAGATTCTTGACCTCACCGTCCCTCCTTGCCTAGGGTTAGTGCTGCATTAGCTCAGGCTTCACCAGAAGTGACCCAGAGTCATCTGCAGTCAGTTGAGAAAGACCCCAGGAGACTGTCTCTAGGCTCCTGAAGAGCTGGGACTGCCTTATCCAGGCAGGGGAGTGATGGCCTTCTGCTGGAGGGTCCCCACAGGGTGTCCTGCCACCCCAGGCTTCCCCTGAGAGAAAGCCATAGGGCTGTCTTTTCCTGGGGTTCACTGCTCTTAGTCATGGATCTGGACCAGAGGGCCTAGTCCTTGCTGCTCCAGTTTGATCTGAAACCTGATCACACTCAGCATTGGCACCTACACTCAACCTGCCCCTTTTCACTTGGGTCCCACGAGTTTGCTTTGCTCCTGAGGCTTGCAGCCTTCAGCCTCAGTTTGGGTAGAGCTCTGGGGACACAGATGGTTCTGACCCCTTGATACACTCTTTTAAACCTTGAATGACAAAGCTTGCATTCTTTTTTTTTTCTCGTAGATACTTCCCTGTTTTGTATGTGCTTTGTAGAATCGAACAGCTGAATCGTTCAACTTTCTGAATGTTCCCTTGGATCTTTCATGTTTTGTGTATTTCAAAAATCCTGAGCCTGAGAGTGCACTTTTTAAAAAGGTTTCTGTTCCTTCTGGCTATTTGTCATGTAGTGGGGAAATTCATGATCTTGACAACTTTTTCAACAAAAGATAACCCCAAGAAAACACTTGTCTTAGAACTCGCTTTATATCTGATCTATTATAACATTGAAACACTAAAAGCAGGATTTCCTGTCTGTGAGAAAATTTGCACCCTATAGATTCATCAAGCCTGCCCCAAATAAAGGAAGAAGGCTGTGAATAATTTTCTAGAATTGTAGTTTGTTTGTGATTTATCAAGATCTTGTGAAATTTTGCTCATTATCCCCATGACACAAATAGCTGAATCTTGGAGATTATAAGCCAAGCTACACATTTCTCTTCCAGTAAGAGGTTTTAAATAATCAATATTTGGAATTCTTTCTTGAAGTTGGTGTGGGTGGCTGTCTATCTTTTAAGAGATCAAACTCCACAGCAGGAATAAATACTCTCTGCATGCCCTGCTAGCTTTCAGAAGTCTTCTTCCTAAGCTTTGAGCCTTGCTTTCCGATTTTTAATGTCATTCCTCTCTTCTGGCAGGCAGATATTTCTATATGCCTGTGTGTATGAGAGTAGAAGGTGTCACACATTTGAAAATGATTCTGTATCCCATACCAAGGCAAGCTCTTGTTAAGTGAGTCTGTTTGGTAGGAGGGCTGCTAATTAGTCCAGCAACCCAGACCTGTCAATAGATGTGCTGGGGAAAGACATATCAAGGAGAATATTTTTGATGTGCATCTTCAGTTTCTAAATCCTAGGCATGCCCTGAGATGTCCCATAGGAAACTTGGGAATTCAGGCAGAGGGGACTTTTCCCTCCACTGAGCTATTGGGGTTGCTGCCATCTGGACCTCCTCAGGCTGCTCAGAGCAGCAAAAGGGATGTTCTGGCCATGTGGGAGGTCCCTGGCCATCTGCCTTAGGCCCCTTCTGTTTAGTGGTAGGGACTCCCTTGTGCACATCTCCATCTTCACACTCCTGTGTCCAGTGCCCATTAGGGGCTCATGTGTATTAAAGGAGATAGGCTGTCTACAGCGCAGGTCATTCCGGAATCCAAGAATCCAAGCAGGATTCTTGTGCTGAGCTGAGCCCTCAAGCTGGCGCTCCCTACAAGTGGAGGTTCTCCAACAATGAGGAAGAGGACCGTTAACGTCACTCCTTTTGGTGTCCCCATGGTGAGGGTGTCCAGGGCATGATCTCAAGAT